TCAGTATGACTAGAACATTTTCCTTATTGCAGCATACATTATGTACAAATTATTGAAAATACAGCTAAAATTACGAATATCTCTTCTACCTATACAATACAGTATTGAAAGATCATGTCATAATGTAGAAATATCGAAAATTTCGGTAATTGTAATAGGTTTTTTTCGTATTATTTTAGGTGTTATAATATAAATGTCCATAATTACTTCGGTTACAGTTCCAAGTAGAAATAAACGAAGTTAATATCTATTACATTAATTTAACGGATTATGTAATCTATTAGTGTTGATGTATAACACAGTTGAAACAACGTAAATGTATATAAATATTCTGATATAAGTACATTTATTGTAATCGATGTATTTACAGAAAACATTTTAAAATAAATGTTTTTGTAGTTTTGTAATTTGTGTAAGTAATTATTGGACTGCAATTTGAAAATCTGAAAACCTAAAAATTCCCACAGTCGTCCATTCATTTGTCTGTCTTTTCTTAACTTCGAGAACGAAGTTACAGGTATAAAAGATGAGAAAACAGATACAAACCATAGGAGATGGAAGCCCCGGTAAACTGTATAGAAACTTACGATGCAAACCGGAAGACATATTATTTCAATTCAAATACTTTTCTCTGAATGGTGTTACATAAATTACCTGCACGACTCTATTGCTGACAGGGAAAGTATGATAAACAGAGGCAAGACACTATTAATTTGATATGGAAAGCATATATTTTAAAATAAATAATTTTAAAATATAATGAAGAATTGCAGCCCAGCATTGTCACAATGTCACACAGAGTTATAATCATAATACACAAAAAAGTACACCATGCTATGTATTACAATACAAATAACTTAATATATCTACTTGTTTAATTTTTTCAGTATTATCGTTATTTTTTAGGAATGAGAAAATATAGCAACACGATTCCAATTGAACCTTCTTTCTTTGAAACAACTTTCACTCCTGATTCTGTGAGAAGTTTCTTTGAAAATTATTGGCATTATTCCATCTATATGTCCATCGTCTATGTTATGCCCATGAAGATTCTGCAATATGATATGATGGATCTTCCTCCTTATAATTTCAAACGTCCGTTTATTATCTGGAATAGTCTTCTCACGATTTACAGCATTCTTTCCACAATAAGAGGAATTTTAATTTTGTATGAAGCATTTAAGCGAGTTTCGTTTTATGAATTTCTTTGCAATACGAGTCTGACAAAAGACACGCATGCAATTGTATTCTGGTAAATGATATTCGCATTTTCTAACGTCTGGAAACTGGGGGATACACTTATGATAATATTAAATAAACAAAACTTTTAGTAATTTGTTTTATAAATCGTATGTTCTTCGAGTTAAAAACGTTAAAAAGAAAAATTAAATGTAATATTGCATCATTTTACAGAATACAGTCGACCCCCTATAACACGGTAGATACGTTCCGGTTTTTATGAATCCATTTTCTACGAGTCCAGCCAATCACAGCCCGGCACGTATGCGGTTTACTAACTACAGCTGTTTGAAAGGTTTTTTCCATTAAAATTAATTGATTCCTAGACTAATTCGACTTAACATTTCCAAAATACGTATATTTTTTTGGGAATAATCCATATAAATTATGCTATAAACAAAAAATTGTAGTATTACTTACCGAGTGTGCACCGCTCGATCGCGCCATTGCTTAAGCTTGTTTTCGTCGTGGAGCTTATCGCTCGAATGGCGCTCGCGTGCTTCTTGATAAATTTTTTTCCGAAAAATTTGCTGAACTTTGGAAACAACATTAATATAAATTTAATTTTTATGGCCGTTATGTTTTTAGTAGGTCCGCTGCTCGTTTAAACTCAACGGTTTGTTTAGTCCTGTTGCCACACGAGTCGGCGATGACATTTTACCAAATGATACGAGTTTTTTTAGCGTGTTTATACGAATACGGTCGCAATTTTTTCGCCGTTATATACGAATCCGTATTATATGAACCCGTTTTATAGGGGGATCTTCCCCTATAATAGCCAACAGTCAATTAGCCCAGCCATTTGACATCGAAATTTCTTCACGTGCTATTCAAACAACAAGGAAACGTTAATTCGAAAATCATCTCCTACAGGATAAATGGCACTGTAAGCAAAGATATGAAATATGGATAACGACTCTGGAATTCAGCCAAGAATTGACAATAGCTGAAATTAGTGCTTGCCATTTTTATCAGCAACAGATACAATGGATATCAGTTTGCCAATAGGCTGTGTTCAGCCGTTCAGATGCGGGAATCACAAGCAATCAGTAATTTTCGGATTTCTTCAGTAGCAGAAGCTATCTAATTGAAAGAAAACAACTGTAGTACTGTACTCTAGTTTGTCGCGATTTAAGCTTGTAATGGCTCTTTTGTCTACGTTGTCTGACTCGATTCCAAGCTATAAATTACTTCTTACCACCTTCTAGCAATAAATATTCCTGCAAAACTCTTCCCTTCTATAGTAAAGCAACGAGAGAGATTTTTGTTATTAATTAGCTTGTTAAAACGCCTTTTAAGCTCCGGTTGGTTATTCCTATCTTGACTTACTCTAATTAAGCTCATAAGCATTTTTTCAGAACTATTCACTTGAGAGTTTTCTGCCAAAAACTACACTTTTTAAGACTATGTAATGGAGTCAAAATGTAAACCAACGTTAAGAATTCTTCATTTTCTTTTTTTAGTTCTAATTTTGCGAATTTTAATGTTAACTCACTTTATTTAGACTAGTAAGTGTCTTATCAGAAGCATGCATCCATAAAATTTTTCGCGAAACTCGATACTTCTCATTGCTACGTAATAAGAGAAAAACGTGTAAATAATAGCTTATTTTATCGGACTGTTGTAAAATTCGTTGGAATAATATGTAAATAGTGTTTAATATACACTATATTAGGCAGAAAATACGTTTATCTATTCTGATCTGGGTTCCTTAAGAATCCAACTTCTCCTGGTGAAGACAGATGAGAAATAATAGGGTTATAAACAAGGCTATAAATTTTCACCTGTGCCTCAAGAGACTTTCGGGTTTTTTATTAGAAAGAGAATACTATTAGTAACGTTGAAAATTAATCTGAACATTTAAATTTTTTTTTACTCTTGTTTCGAAAATTTAAAATTTAAATATAATTTTCAATTTGTATAATATTTTAAATTTAACAACCTTAACTGTGATATGTTTCTGAGAAAAAATATTAAAAGAAATTTAGCAACGAGTTCCACAACTTAAAAAAATATAATTTAAAAATAACATTTGCATTACAAATCAAAATCTATACCTAAATATATAAAATTACTTGTCCTGACCGACTGAGTCACTGATTGATTCATTATCGCCCAGAGCAAACCGCTGAACCTAAAGAGGTGAAATTTGGTACACAGTTAGGGTACGTCATGAAAACGCACACTAAGAAGGGATTTTTCAAAATTCCCGCGTGGGGAAAGACGGAGAGCATTAAGCCTTAACCGGAAAAGTGGCTTCTACTGTAATATTTTAGATGCAATTTTTTGTTCCTAACTGCGTTTTAATAGGGTATGCAATGGGAAGGCACACTAAGAAGGGATTTTTCGAAATCCCCCCGCGAACGGGAGAGGGAGAGTGAGAAAGTTTAGTCTTCATCGAGTACTTAGGTGTATTAAATTAATAACATTTCAGACATTCTTATAAATATTTTTATGTATTTCGATTTTAAAAATGTTCGAACCGTTTTAAATTCGAATTTGTTATTGCATATTGGTTCGATTATAAAACGATTGTAAACGTTTCAGAAAATTGATCAAATTGAAAACAGTTCGTTTGATTCTCGGCAATTTTCATTATTTTCAGCGGTAGGTGTTATATAATAATATCTATGGTTGTTGAAATACTGAATATAAATGGGGTTTTCTTGCAAAATCCGCGCGGGAAAAGCCGCTGGTAACAGCTAGTATATATATATATATATATAAATGGACGTGTGTGTCCCTATATTTCACTTTTGAGCCAAAACTCCACATCGCACATGAATGGTGTTTGTATGTGGTAGTAGCCCCAAGTCTCCATTCGTGCACTATGGTGGTTGCGTCTTGATAGCTATAAGGGGGCGGGAGATATAGGCTTGATAGTGGTTTAAAGTAGCTTTCTATTTCGAATTTTATGTTCGAATTTGTTCGAATTTAATTCGAACAATATTCGAATTTGAATTCGAACATAAATTTCGAATATTGGTTCGATTATAGAACGATTGTAAGCGATCCAGAAACGTTGAAAATAGTTCGTTTGACTTGACGTGAACAAGAGACGTTCAGCAATAGATTCGAGACCAGGTCTCTAATTAGTCTGGAAACGTGGGACCTAATTCTTGCATTCTGTGAAAACGGGTAAGATTGGCTATAATGTAATTATCTTAATCTTTACTATCGTTACTTTTTGCCCACAAATAAAAACCCAGCGAAGCGGTTCCTTGCAGCTAGTAAATAAATGAAAATATACAGTAATAGAAAATACTTAATCAAATGCTAAACAATATGCTGCAGACCAACAAGTTGCTTAACCGGTTGCTTAATGTTTTTTCTATTGTCAGATTTTATTTTTAATTAAAAACCTTTATATTATTAACTCCAATAAAAAAAGTGTAATTTTTGACAGTAAAAATGAATTATTAAAAATGCTATGAATTTTAATAAGAATTAAAATTTTAATTAAATCCGACCCCGTCCAGATATGACACTCGATTTTTCTTTACCTCTGACCCTCTCGAACTTTGTAAATTCGACACGATTCTAACACTTTCGTGTGTTAAATACATGACAGCCAGAAAACTAAAATGGTAAAACTGGTTTAATTGTTTAAAAATTCTGTCAGATGTTACTTTCCTGTTAATTGTAAGTTTACTGTTTTGAGTTCTGCAGTAATTTGATGGTTTAAATTTCTCATAGTCTTCTAAATGTATAATTCGTTGCTTCTCAAACTATATTATTGAATATAATTAATTAAGAACAAATTTTAAATACTTTATTTTTATTTGCAATAATGTTCGCGTATTATATATCGACGTACATTTTTATTAATAATACACATATTTTTTTATAATTAATTATCTGCCTGATCTCTTTGCATAAATCTCATATAATAATGAGCATATTTTGGATTTAATTCTTCGCAATAACATTTGAATGCATAACAATATCCGTAACCTCCAAAATGATGTTTGCAAACGTCTTTACAGTGATCGTTTACTCCAAGATTTAAGCATTTATAATAGGTACAATCTACTGATATAGGATATGCTCCTTTGGCTTCTCCATATGTGATTTCTGTACCTATAAAATAAAAAAAGTTACATTTTTATTTATTCATGTAAAGAAAATATTTTCAAAAATATAAAAGAACTAACTAAAAATTGATTTTATCCTCGTTTTTCTAACATTAATTTATTCTGTTAAGTATTTAAATTAATCTAATGTTATGTCTCTAATAAACCTATACCTTTCATTCAGCGTCTAGAGGAATAATTTTATAGTAATATAGAGACTTGCAGGTGTTTAATGTTTATAGACCAGTTCAAATGCTGATGTATCAATGAAAAAAACACGCAAACGAATTGCCAAATGCATATACACCTTGTACATTTATGTTTACTTTTGACACGTGAAATAACTTTTAGTGATAAAATTATTAAATTACTGCTATGAGATAGTATACTACTACAATTTAGCATACACTACAGCGAAGTAAATGATAAATAATCTATTAAACATTAATGAAACAATATTGTTTTTGTTCAGCAGAAAATTATAATGTTATTACTTTAAAACAGGCAGAAAAATTCTTTAAGAATGGAACATATAAATAATTTTGCTACATCAGAAGATTTGCAGAAGCAACACTTGTAGCGATTTCTTGTAAATTGTAAATTAAAGCTAAACTAAATCTAAAATTTTATCCTTAAGACTTTTTTTACTACAGACTAACAAGGAAATAATAATAAAAATAAAAGATAAATGATAAAGTAAATACTACCGAGTACTGTTGTAAGTAAGGTCAATGTAAAAATTGTCCATCTGTCCATTTGTAGTTTACGAAATGCACAAGGTACTTTATTTAACACTCAGTGACTTTTAAAATGTTAATAAAGTTTATAAATTATTTAGTTCTTATAAATATTTTCGTTAAATGTTACTCTACTAAATTACTAATGACAAAGTCCATTAAGAAATACGATTCAGCGAACAAAATAAAATAATTTGAACATTTCTTGTTAATAAAAAACTGACAATAATAATTATTATTTTAATAATATTTTTGAAATATGAGAAAATATCTGTTTGTTTCTAATCAGTTGTATAACGATACGTCGTATAATTCATATGAATGCCAAATACCATAACTTAAGACTTCATGATGTACATAGAAGCCTATAGATTAATAATAAGTCACAATAGAAAACTTAACCTAAACAAACATACAACAAAGTTCTACTAATATTTATTAAACTGAAATCTGAAAAAATTGTAAAACTATAAATACCCACTCTCCGGCTGTCTGTCTTTTTTAATTTTAAGAGCGAAGTATGGAACCTGAAATTCAAAACAAGGACAAGCGTAAACGTACGCGGCCCTAATTAACTGTATACGGATGGCTGATACGAAGCAGGAGTCATTTTATTTCAATTAATATTATCCTCTAAAATGTGATAGATAGATGACCGGCACGACCTCTTTCCTAACAGAAAAGTATTGTGTGAATGGCAAGCCACTACTCATTTTAGGTAGAGAGCATATATTTTAAATTAAATAAACTAAAAATATGTTTAAAAATTACAGCCCGACATTGTGACGATGTCAAAATAATTAATTTCTCGTAATACTTACATTTTATAAATCAGGTTTATACGATGAAGATGAACTTTTTATCAGGAATATTTAAGGTGCGAGATTTAACCTCTTCCCCGACGTCGAGATGGTGAGTCCGCTCACGGGCTCAATTTATGGTTTCCTAGTATTTGAGCGAGCGGGAGGGTCAGCGAGGTCTTCGATGAGGTGTCGGCGATACACGAGTTACTACAACTATTTAAATAAACTTAACACATTTAATACAAACAAGAAAGAGATTACAGACGCAACGTAACAAAGTTACATAGTAAGGCGATATAACATTAATACGAGTTCTGTTCCCAGAGAGAAAAACGGATAGTTCTCGCGTGTAGCTATCGTATGTCCAACCGAGACTCGAGTTCGAACCCTTTTTATCCTCCGTTGAGTGTGGGAAAAAAGTCAGGTGACTTTGATTTAATTAAAGTTCGATCTGTGTCCTGGTTCGGCGACACGAGCTGTCGAGAAGCGGACGATTCGGCCGAAGTTTTAATACTTTTAGCCGTTGTTTTGGCTTGTCTTACCTCATAATTTCATTCTTTTTGACAGTTTCTTATCATTAATAATTATATGTTTAGATTTATTCCCGGAACTTATTCAAAACATCTTTAAAATTGTCAATTTGTGCGGTTATTTGATACGTCCTTATCTATCGGATCAGAGGTCGCCGACAATGCCAGGTTGTGGGGAAAGGAAGTGAATTTTCCTATTTCTGTATTAACTGTGTATTAGTTTAACTAATTAATCTAATTACTAAATTGACCCTTCCAGAATCCCACATCTGTGTATTTATGAGTTATAAGGAAAACTAATTTGGAATACATATTACAATTAAAGTGGATGTGAAATAATCATGAATTAAAGCACTAATTGGCCTATCTGTTAATTAACTTTAAATATAAGGACGTGTTATTTAAACTGATAATCGTTAAAAGCAGTGACATCAAAGAGTGACAAATGCAATAAAGCCAATAATGCCTTATAAACTTAAAATTAGTGCTTTTTTAAAATTTACTTAGTATTTTGTTTGATAGTATTCAGTTTAAAGAAAATACCTGATTTGATCCAAATATTCCAAATTAAAGACAGAAAAAGACTCTAAATCTTAGAACACCCTTAACATTTATGACAAGAAAGTGACTGGTTTAAATAAAGTTTTTTTGTATTACTCCAAATTTATCACAGACCTGTTGATGGGCCATAAGCTGGGTAGAAGTGGCTATAGCAATATCTGAAACATTCCATTCCTATTACTGTCTCCCACATTGACAAGACTCTAGCACATTAATACAAATGCCATTAATGTAATACTTTAAAGATAGCAACAGCATTGAGATGTAAATTTTAAAATTTTCAATAAAATTTTTACATTTATATTTTACGATAAAATGTGTATCAATTTCGTGGATGTATTCCGCCATTCAGTCGTAAATATATCGAAAAATCTTAAGTGATAATAAATAATTATACTAAAACCTGATATATTATAATACCAGAGAAGATACACGTACTGGTCCTCTCGCTATGCTCTCCAGTAGAGTTGATGTGTCATGTTGCTGATAGCTGGCGTTAGAGTCGCTGTTAGGCGAGAAGTTTGCTTATTTATTTGGTTAGTAGGTATTTTCCTGTTTATAAATTTTATATCATGTATAAAAAAAGAAAAAGGGTATATGGTTTATAAAAAACTTAATAACATGATGAATTTAAATTACAGATGATTGTTTTATTACATATGTTTGACAATATAATTAGGAAAACTATACTTTATCCTCTGATACACTTAAGTAGACATGAAATTTAATCCAGATAAAAACAAACTATTTTTAAAAATAATTTATTAGCTTTAACACTACACAAAGTATGCAATACAATTTTACTTGATTTAGTATAGTGAGAAATAGTACAGTAGAGCGTCGATTTTCCGAATCAATTGGGGACTGGGGTTGTTCGTATAACTGATATTTCGGATAACCGATTTATGTACGAAAAAATAGTTTAACGTATCCGATGTCGAAATTTTTCTCCATTGCGTGTCGCTTCGCGTTGAATTTTCGTCGATGTTAAGCCTAACAAAGACTATTGTATCGTTAAAAATTGTTTTTTTATTTTGTACAAACAAAATAAATATATTGAAAAATATAAAAACAATAAAAAATTATACTTCAGATGTTAATTTAGTATCAAAAACGTAAAATATTTGAGTAGCCCAAGACATAGACAAAGATTGAAGCGCCACAGCACTGGCGAAAATTTAAATTTGCCGACTGGAATTCTTTCGGATGATTGACTTTCGGAAAATCGACGCTCTACTGTATTTGGGATGAAATAGTTTCGTATTTTTGACATGAAAAATTACATTACTTATCACACTCACATTGGCTCTACGTATTTTGGTAATGTATGTAATATTATGCACTACCAAAAGTAAAACATTAATTAAGATTTATTGGTGGCCTAGTACATCTGTTTATAAAGATCTAAATCATTAGTAACATGTGTTTCTTTTAGATTCCATGTCATCACTAATCACTATCACTGTCAATATCTAATAATACTGTCTGAAGTCTCTCCATTCTACATTTACCTATTTTATTTGTCAATCTCTAACTCATCATCCTTTGATTACCTCTAAGTTATTATGTGCGTGTAAATAAATTGAATATCTTGTCTAAATAGTTGGAATCTTTTCTTTTTCTTTTAAGATCTTATATTTCAAATCCAAGAAATAAATCTACTGACTTTCCCTCCTCTAACCTGTTCCTAACTTTTTTGGATCAAATTTAATCTTTCTGTATCTCATTAAATTAATAAGCACAATACAAATTGTAAATAACATATATCATAGCTCTTTTTTCGCTGCAAACTACAATAATTTACCTAATATTGTTAAATAAAAATAGATATGGGCTTAACCTTAATTAACTTCAAAGCCACTCTAAATCCTAAATCTCTCTCTCTCTCTCTCTCTTTTTAATTTTAAATCTACATCTTTATCCATGGTTTAACATTTTTATACATTTTCATAATTAAATGTATATAATTCTCATCATTCCATTTTCTTCTTAATTCAGAGTTCTCGGGAAACCTGAAGACATTCCATATTAATAATGCATATAAAGGCTTAAGTATAATTTTTTTTACTACGTTTTCTTGTCCTCAGCGAAAAATCCCAAACATATTTAAAAATAAACACAAGTTGTAAGCAAAAATACGAACAGTTTAATCAATTTGAAGTTCAATATCGTGAAACAGCGATGCCTCAGGATATGAACGCTCTAGTATTCGAAATTTTCAGGATACGACATGAAATTCCAACATATTTTTGCTCCACGATACGAACAAAAACTCACCATACGACGTTACTTTAGTTCGCAGCGCCATTTTTTATTCACTTCTGTTCATCGGTCTCAGTCCGCGCGTTTGCTTTGTCGTGGAAGGATCTCGCTCGATAAAGGAAATCTCAAGGTATTATCAGAAAGTGACTGATTTTATTGAAAAGAAACATCCCGAAAAGGTTCACACTGGCTGTATTGCTGCTCGGAATAATGACATTTGCCTAAGTCATTTTAGAAACATTTTAAAAAGTAGGCAAAGCCAAACCTCTTTGGATAGATATTTTACCAAGCGACCTGTATCCAGTGGTGGAAGTGAAGGAAAGAAAGCAAAAAGCAGTGAATAAAACATTAATATATATATATATATAAAACAGAAAAGATAAAAAGAATTAGTGTTATGTTATTTTTAAGTTATTGTTACATTATATTATATAAGTTAAGTTTTATTATCATTTCCCTTCTCCCTCTCCTCCGCTACACCTCCACCGTCGTCTATCCTCAAAGGTAAAGTTATTATTCTATTATGGTTATTTATACATTTACAACTACAAAACGCATTTTTCAGTGTTTTCCTTACTATAGTTACTTTTTCTTATATATATTTTTTAAATAGTAGAGCGTCATTTATCCGAATCAATTAGGAACTGGGGTCGTTCAAATAACTTATTTTTCGGATAACCGATCATGTAAGAAAAAATATATTAACTTATCTCGTGCTGAAATTTTTCTCCGTTGCGTGTCGCTTCGCGTTGAATTTTCGTCAACGTTAATCCTAATGTAAACTTTTTAAAATAATCGTCGTGGCTATTGTATCGTTAAAAATTATTATTTTTATATTTTTTACAAACAAAATAAATATACAGTCGACCCCCCTATAACGTACGTTCTAATAACGACAATTCCTATAACGTAACGAAAAAATTGTA